ACAATTTAGTGAGGAGTTTAGTGCACGATAGCTTGGCACAGGCCAATAATAATCTTAGAAGTCTAGTGCAGGAAATTGTCAGTTCGGAAATGGAGAAGATATATGGTGTCATAAATACACTTAGTGATGCCGTATCGAAAATATCCATGGGTGGACAGAATACAACTCAGCATCCTACAGCTTCGTCTCACAACGATAATCCCACACACCAATCTCTACATCCAGAAAACAGGAGACCAACTTTTGAAAACTATGCGAATCAGATTCCCCCTCAGAATAGAGACCACAACCGAAGGAATACGGTCATACCGTCTTTCTTTAGTTTTTCAAGTGGACAAGGTATAAGAGTGGAAAGGTTCGGGTTAAATTTCTCAGGCAGGCCAAATAGTCTATCCGTGGAAGATTTCATCTACCGTCTAGAATATTTCCAGGAACATTACTCTCTAGAATGGTTTGATATCTTAAACGAATTTCACATTTTATTGTCAGGACCTGCTTACGAGTGGTTTTGGTTGCAACAGAGGACAAATACGGTGTCAGATTGGACTTCATTAAAACATGAGGGATTTGCTAGAACGTAAACAATTGCCTAATGAAAGCATAGATGATTTCTTTCACGATATAATTTCAAAGCGGTCAAAGTTGGAAAGACCAGTTAGAGAATATGAGGTGATATCCTTGGTGAAGAAGAATCTTAAGAAAAACCTCTCGAGTATTGTTTATTCAATGCCTGTCTCATCTCTCGAACAACTGAGAGTAGAATGCTTAGAGGTTGAAAGAACGTTTTTTCGTCGGGACCCAGTCCCAAATCCACAGCCACAGTTCAACAAACCCATTCGGGTAAATGAGATCCAAGAGGAAGTAGGAAATATGCAGACCTTTGATGAGTATGAAGGGGTTGTGGAAGTTTCCGCGATAGCTACCCCATTGGTATGCTGGAACTGCCAAAATCCTGGGCATGGATTTAGAGACTGTACTTCGGCCCAAAGAAATCTATTTTGTTTCAAATGTGGTAAGCAAAACACCGTCACCCCTAGATGCTCGAATTGTAGGACGGGAAACGGCAGGATGAACATGGTTGTAGCGGGGAACCATCGTTCCTCGGAGAAACCCGCGCAAAACCCCCAACAAAATTAGCAACTCCCAATAAGGAAAATAATTTTGGAAAAATCCGACATTATTTGCCATTAGATATTAGGAAAGAAAATTACCATAAAACAAGATCTAGAATTTTTGGGGAAAACTACCATGAGGATTCCAAGCTTGAAAAAGCTAACCTAGATTCCTTAAAGAAGCTACATGTGGTAAATAGGAGAAAGAAGAAATACTAAGGTTGAGGGAAAAGAAAAAACAACACAAGATTTTAAAAAAAATCTGTCTTAGAGACTATTGCTAGAGATCAAGATATGAAAGACCCAAGACCATATCTCATAGTGAATATCGAGGGGAAACAAATTAAGGGCCTCCTAGATTCTGGAGCTACGATCAGCCTATTGGGACGACATTGCAGGGAATTGGTTGACGAATTAGGTTTAGAAATTTACCCATATGTGTCCGACGTGAGAACTGCCTCTGGACAAAGGCATAGGATCTTAGGAAAAATAGTAGTTGATATTGAATATAATAACAAAATTAATAAAATTAACTTGTTTCTGTGTCCAGATTTGTCACAAGAATTATATCTTGGAACAGATTTTTGGCGAGTATTTGATATAGCGCCACAAATATTCCCAGTAGAAGAAGTGAATGCAGATTTACAGAGAAATATACATAGGGATTCTGATAATACAAATCCAAATATGCATATTCTATCAGAGGATCAGCAAAATAAGTTAGATAAAGTTATAAAAACCTTTCCCACTTTTGAAGAAAAAGGATTAGGTTGTACAACGCTAGAGAAGCACGCTATAAAACTAGTAGAAGGAGCTAATCCAGTTAAAGATAAACATTATCCTTTGTCACCTGCGGTCCAAGAAATAGTATACCACGAAATTGATAACATGCTTGCCCTGAAAGTCATTGAAGAAAGCGACTCGGCATGGAGCAACAGAACAACTGTCGTACGGAAACCTGGCAAAAATAGATTTTGCCTAGATGCTAGAAAGTTGAATGCCTTGACTATTAAAGACGCCTACCCTCTGCAGAACATCGACGGAATCCTCAGCAAAATTGATCAAACACACTACATAAGCAGCGTCGATCTTAAATATGCCTTCTGGCAAATAGAACTGGAAGAAGAAGCAAAACAATATACAGCATTTACGGTACCAGGTCGACCTCTCTACCAGTTTCGAGTAATGCCATTCGGTTTATGTAATGCGGCTCAAAGACTCTGCAGACTAATGGACTAAGTAATACCGGGGAGGCTCAAGTCAAATGCATTTATTTATTTGGACGATCTACTAATAATAGCGAACGACTTCGAGTATCATCTGAAGTTGTTGAAGGAAGTGGCAGAATGTCTTCAGAAAGCTAACCTGACCATCGGTTTAAGAAAATCCCTGTTCTGTTTTAGAGAATTGCGATATCTCGGATTTATTATTGGAAATGGTAGCCTAAAAACACATCCGGAAAAAATTAATGCGATAATGAAAATCCCTGTACCCAAGTCGCCTAGAGAAGTTCGAAGTTTTCTCGGTACCGCGGGTTGGTACAGGCGATTCATCAAGCATTTTGCTTCAAAGTCTGCACCCTTAACCGACACTCTGAAGAAAGGCCAAATTTGCAATATCTCCGGAAGCTATGGAATCATTCCAGATGCTCAAACAAGCCCTAACCTCGGCACCTGTTCTCCGACATCCTGACTTCCGCCCAGAATTTTTTATACAATGCGATGCATCCGAGTATGGTGTCGGAGCCGTTCTATTTCAAAGAAACGATGAAGGCGAAGAAAACCCTTTGCAGAAACTTAACCCATGTCAACGAAATTACTCAGTTACAGAGAAAGAATGCTTGGCAGCAGTGTTAGCAGTTAAAAGATTCCGGCCATATGTAGAACTTATGAAGTTCACCATCATAACCGATCATGCAAGCCTAAAGTGGCTGATGTCACTTAAGGACCTTAGCGGGAGACTTGCCCGGTGGTCCTTGCAGTTACAAGCATACGATTTCTCCATTGAACACCGCAAAGGATCAGAGAATGTGGTAGCGGACACTCTATCCCGATTGCCTATTGACTATTGATTGATTTGTTGGATTTCGAAACAACGGCTTTTGACAGTGAAGAGTACACTGAACTGCGGGATACGATCCTCAAAAACAAGGAAATGTTACCAGATTTGAAAGTAGAAGACAACAAAATCTATATCAGAAATAAAAATTTCGAAGCTGACTTAACTGAGTTCGAGAGGAAATTATGGATACCACTTGACATAACGTATGTCCAAATACAGAAGGCGCACAACTATAACAATACGGTACACGACGGCATGAACAAAACGCTTAACCGTCTGAGAACATTTCACTACTGGCCCAAAATGGGATCGCAAGTAAGGTAGTATGTCAGGAACTGTGATATTTGTAAAGAAACAAAATCCTCAAACCAACACATAAATCCTACCATCGGCTGTGAGGTGGTCACGGAAAGTCCGTTCCAGAAATTGTACGTGGATTTCCTCGGAAAATACCCCAGGTCAAAAAAGGGCAATGCGTACATTTTTATCGTTGTAGACCGCTTCACAAAGTTCACATTTTTACACGCGATGAAAGAAGCAACATCCCAAAACGTTGTCCGATTTTTAGAAGAGCAAGTGTTTCATACCTTCGGAATTCCAGAGGTTATCCATAGCGACAATGGAAAACAATTCACATCGAAGGTGTTTGAGCAAATGATTACGAATTATAAAATACAACACCTGACGACAGCATTTTATTCGCCTCAGTCAAACGCTTCTGAGCGAGTGAACCAATCGGTGCTAGCAGCTATCCGAACTTATGTCGAAAGTGATCACCGTGACTGGGATCTATATTATCCGTTCATTCGTCTACTGGTGTAAATCCCTTCTTGGCTCTATTTGGGTATAATAGGTTTACCAGTGGATCAGATTATAAACTAGCTAAGAAGTTAAAATCACTGACTGACCATCAAATAGAATCTCCAAATAGAAACGACAGATTAGAACTAATGCGAGAGAAAATTAAAAACAATATGCACAAGGCATTTGAAGATAGTGCAAGGCGCTATAATCAAATAGCGCGAAAAATCAAATTTTTTCCTGGCCAAGAAGTCTATAGGCGCAACCACATGCTATCAGATTTTAAAAATAGCATCAATGCCAAATTTGGAAAAAAGTTTCTAAAATGTAGAGTTGTTAAACCCATTGGGAATAACATGTACGAATTAGAAACACTCCAAGGTAAACCTCTAGGGAATTTCCACGCCAAAGATATGAAAATATAAAAAGTGCAATATTTTCTGTGATACTAGTAATATAAGTGCAATATAGATTTAGAAAATGAATGTTTGTGAACGTCCATTTTTTTTCTATTTTTGCATCTGTGATTATTAGTACCGATTATTGACCTATTTTATATTTCAAATCTTTTATGAGGCTGAGAAATATCCTTAATTACCCGGCTTTTGTTATCTCAGGGTGTGGGAGTTCCCCACGTTGGGCCATACAAAAGTACTGACAGACGGAATGCTAATCAATATGAAACGATTTCGACAATTTTAAATTCTGCAGTAAAATTAAGAAAAATATTTGTGGAAATTGTCCTGAACCAATTTAATTTGAATTTTTCACACCACTATACTTTGGTACAAAACATACTAAGTAAAATTTCCCTTCCTAGCACCAAAAAAATCTATTACCTATCAGCAGTGATATTTTAATTTTCATAATGTTGCTGGAAAAGAATTCTTATAATAATAAATAATATGGAATAAAAGTATATGTACAGCCATACAATACACCCAAGTCGGGGTAAATGGCTGAAAGTTGCTTGCCGTATTTGGAACAATCAGATATTTTTCGTATTTTATTGGGCATAAAATAAATGTGCAGGTACCAATTCATGCTGCGATAAAATGGCCGTGATATTGATTTGTGCATTTCACAATTTGATTCACTTGATTTGTTTATGTATATTTGTTAGGCTTATGTATATTTTCTTTGAAAACATTTCACGTTCAGCTGTTTTTTTTATCTCAGTATACAGGCCAATTGCCTTACTGCTTCCTTTTATTCCGAACGTCTTGCACACATACAAATTTATATTGCATTCACCGATTCCTCCTTTCGGCGTATATAGTAGTTAGATTCTAGAGATTTGGGGTGATATAAATGATTCACTAACGTTTGCTATGTTGAGGCTAGGAAGAATAACAGGCATTCTGCCGAGTCATCAATGTCATAATCTGAAATAGAAATCAAAGTTTTAAATAAAATCACAAATCCTACAATTAAATCTACTTACCTATTTTTTTAACGCAAAAATGATTTGCGGATCTACGCACATGTCGACGCATAGATAGGTAGCATTCAAAAGCAGACGCACATACGCGCACACATACATTATTATGAATGAGACACCAGGCAGTGTGTATTTTATGCGTACGCATAGTCGTACAAACGCCACACATAGTATTTTCGTTCAAGAAAAATAATTACCTGTAAAGACATTTTTAGGATTAGAATATTGATCAAATGGAAAATTTAAAAATTTCTTACCTGTGTCCAGCCATCTTATGCTGCCGCTATAAACTTGTGCCCTGGCCGCATGCGTATATTAGGGGTTGACCTGCGGCATATAATCCGCGTTTATTTCTGCCATCACGGGATATACGGGGTGAAATTTATTTCAGAGGCCACGTACATCACCATTTCCATCATTTGCTTCGGAAATGTTGAAGTTTTGTTGCGTGTGGCCCATGAAAATATTTTTTTGTCTTGGTTATAAAAAATTAATTACCAGCAGCAAGTCCCCGTCCATTGCTGCCGGCAAGTAGAAAGAGAACCGGATACGAGAGGTGGCCGGCTCATTTGCAAAATTCCAGCGTTGCCACATGTAATCATGCTTGAGTAGGGAAATACAACTCTCACATCACCATTTCCATCATTTGCTTCGGAAATGTTGAAGTTTTGTTGCGTGTGGCCCATGAAAATATTTTTTTGTCTTGGTTATAAAAAAATTAATTACCAGCAGCAAGTCCCCGTCCATTGCTGCCGGCAAGTAGAAAGAGAACCGGATACGAGAGGTGGCCGGCTCATTTGCAAAATTCCAGCGTTGCCACATGTAATCATGCTTGAGTAGGGAAATACAACTCTGGAGTGGAGAATAGTAGGGGTACGTAGGTGCGTTGAAAGCATAATATGATAAATAAGAAAAATCCGGGAAAATTTGAGAAAAGAGGGAAATTGGCTTGCTTTTTGTCCCTATAAAAAGGCAAAGCGGGGAAAATGTCGTTGAAGTCGTTTTGTTGGTTGTTGTGAAGGAGTATCATTGTTTCAGCCCGCAAAGTTAAAGTTATAATTGATATAAGTAATACAAATTGTGGTTGTTTTATTGTGTTCAGTGGTGTTTTAATCTATGTGTTGGTGCGAAATAACTATAAGGCTCGCGCCAACGTTAACCCTGTTCTGGAAATATTGGCCCCTCCAGACATCTTCCTGGAGGAGGTCAGCAGTTTTGGTGGTCAATCCATATTTTTGGAAAAAAATCGGCCCGAAACCAGCAGCCAAACTTGTGTGCTAAAAATTGATCCCGTGCATGTCTGATTGCCTTGTGATGTCTGTTGTCTAAAAAGGAGAAGAAAGTCTATAAGTACCGGCGATAGAAGGTAACATTTTTATACATACCATAAGATTCTCCGTGATTCTCCATATCAATTACCATTTGCCTCCAATAGAATGGAAATAGCGCCAAACGCAATCATGAAGCGCTAGTTGAAGACATCTAAAATTTAACAAAAAAAAAAAAAGACATCACTTTAATATATATTGATAAGAGAAAAAAAAAAACACAACAAAAACTAAACAACAGCGACGCACAAATTGAACCAAATTATATCTATGTTTGAAAATTTAGTTAAGTGTGAACGTCCCTAATTTATAAGTTAGTACATAAGCTTTATTTATCGATTTGTTAGGATTTTTAACACCTAGGAATAAAACGTGAGTGTAGGGTTACCCCAGTTAAGTAGGACTAATTAAATGTTTGTGTGGACTGAATGGTAATGTCCATTAAAAACTACTAAGAGAGCTCTTTTAGGGAATTTGTAAGATTTAGTTTATCGGCCAGATTTGGCAAAAATCATTAGTCCGAAGATTATTTGGTGGTTGCCTGAGCAATGACCCACAATAATTAGAGGTGTTAGAAATTTATGAGAATTTTTGTTTTGTGTAAATTTAATCGTTAGGTTTAAGACAAATATGAGAATAAATTGTTTTTATGTTTGATTTATGTTTCGTAATATGAACTATTAAGTTTTTCTTTGTGAGAGAGGGACCTAGACTGTATGTAACTGAGTGGTAGGTGTTAGTGGATTTTGGGGCCCTTTAAATTTTTCATGTTTCTTAGGATCAAAGGGTCAAGGATGGGCAAAGTGTGGGAACTAAAACACCAAGTTCCCTTGTCATGGTCGTATGTAGTGTTTGTCGTTTTATTTTGTTGTTTTATTTGTTTTTGTTTCAAGTACCTCATTTTTGATTGTTTGACCCCTAGGGGTGGAAGGGTTGAGAGCCCCCTGACGTAAATATGCCTCGCTGAGCCGCTTCGAGCGGCACGTAACAATATGGCGTCTAAGTTAGGCGGTCCATAAAAACATAACGCCCAGCTCCATCAGGCGGAACATAACAAAGATCTTAATGGATACTACAAATTATGGTAAAAACAAGTAAAAAAGCAAAGCAAACAAAGCCGCTGCGAGCGGCACGTAACAATATGGCGTCTAAGTTAGGCGGTCCATAAAAACATAACGCCCAGCTCCATCAGGCGGAACATAACAAAGATCTTAATGGATACTACAAATTATGGTAAAAACAAGTAAAAAAGCAAAAAGAACAAATTATAAAATTTTTAAAAAAATTAAATCCATTAACAATTATGTTAAAATCTTTAAGGTACCTAATATCGGAAGGTGCCGATATATGGGGGATATACGATAGTGTGGACCTATATAGACAAATCTATATCTGGGCGTAAAGTATAAACAAGGGACTACTTGTGTGGATTTTCAGACAATTTCATTGAGAAATGTGACCAACATCATCAAAATACCGAATATCGGGGGATACCGTTATATGAGGGCTATACGATATCGTGGACCTGTATAGATAATTCTCTTCTGAGGTTTAAAGTACCCAGAAGGAACTCCTTGTGTGGATTATCAGACAATTCCGTTGAAAAATGTGGGTAAAATCATCAATATACCGAATATTGGGGGGTACCGTAATATGGGGGATATACGATATCGTGGACCTATATAGACAATTCTCTCTCAGGGGGTAAGATATTAACAAGGGACTCCTTGTGTACCGAAGGAGTGGACCAATATTATCCACTTCTCTTCTAAACTAACTTCGATATATATTGTCCAAGACTACTTCCTTCACTTTTTATGAGATATGTGATAATTTTTGGAAAATGCTGATATAAGCATAATGTATCAGATATAATAGACCAAAGCCTTCCACTTCATCTAATACTGATAGATTTATTTGGTTTGAAGAAAATCACACTTCTATAACCATTTTTTGGGAATATTTATTGATCATAACATTACCTTGGGGGGAAGAAGGTGCGAGAAGGAGTGAGCCGATAAATTCTATTTTTACGTAAGATTTTTGATTTAGAAAAGTATGTAGATATAACAAGTTTAAAAAGAATCGGCGACTTGTTTCGCAAGAAATGAGATATATAAATTTTACAAATTATGAAACTTTCTTGGAGAGGTACCAAAAGTTGCGGGCCGACATATATCTTTGTTACACAAGAACTCGCTTTGGTAAAAATATTGGGATATGTGAAATGTGAAGAGAATCTGACGCTTGTTGACTTGTTGTGGGGGAGGTACCAATGATGGGATGTGAGAAATTTGAAGTGAATCTGATGTTTATTATTTTGATCCTTTCTCTATCTTGTTTTCTTTGAAAATTTTGATCTTTTGTCGGGAAGTAGTAAGCCGATGTTGCCCATCTCCGATCTCGATCTAAGTTTGACAATAATATTACGATGTACAAAGTTTGAATCAAATCGAATGCTCTCTTCGAGAGTTAATAAATATTAATTCTCTAACCATAAGGCTGATGGTATAAGAAGGAAAATGTAGTTGTATATGTCTGTGTATTCCTTACAATTTTATATTTTACATTGTTTAGAAAATATTCAACTAATATGTAACCAATATGCTCATTACACAAGGTTTAACCGAAATAACGAAATAATAATAATAATCATATGTAGAACTTAATTTTAAAAAGAAATATTAGCCATTCATTGAATTTCGAAGTTTTTGTTTTTTTATTCAAATAGCACTTAGTAGTTTAGGAACCTTATAAAAATGTTTGTGCATCATTATGCTTATAATAACCAATACTATGTACACAAATCACACATTTTTAGCGTTAACCGTTCAGATTTGGATATAGCTCTCATATATATTTTCGGCCGATTTAAGATATTTGGTGTCGCAAACATAATATGTATGCCCAATTGCAACATTTGGAACAAGTGTAGCGGAATTCGGAACAAAAAAATGCCAAGCTATAACTAGATCGGTTCAGATTTGAATATAGATTCCATTTTAATTTGTCATTCCGTTAGTAACATTTCAAAATATCCGTCGTAAACTAGCACAATAGGATTGAAAGTGAGGCATATCGGTCCATCTTTTCCTATAGCGCCCATATAATGGTTCCTCCTTATAATTGGATGTCACAGAATTGTTCCAAATTTGGTGTTGAGAGTTTGTAACGGTTTCGACCTTTGATTGTCTATATGGATACACGGTTTGCTGTAGCACCCAAATATCAGGTATTCGGTACTTTTGCGAAAAAAGCAACATTTGTTTAGAATTTGTTATTTGTAATTCGTAAAAGTTTCCAGCGCAGCACAACATCTTCTATATCTAGAAAAGAGGAAAATGTTTGTATGTTTGTTTGTAATTTATGGACTCGAAATCCGCTGAACAGATTTTCCTAAAAATTTCCACGTATACTAGAACATCGCCTGAAAGAAACATAGGCTATATAGATTTTTAAAATTCCACTTGGAACTGGAGATAAAGCATCAAAATCGGAGGTACCTCCCAAAAATTTAGATTTTATATGCACATATCTATTGATTGATTACAGATACAGTCTCCAAATTTGGAATGCGTAACGTAATTTGGAACAAAAATAAATTTGCCAAATTATATTGAAATCGGTTCAGATTTGGATATAGCTCCAATATAAATTTTCGACCGATTTAGTTTATTTGATGCCTCAAACACGATGTTTATGTTCGATGCCAATGAAATATGGAATGTGTAACGGGATTTGATCCGAAAATAATTTTTTCAAAATAAATTGAATACGTTTCAGGTTTGGATATAGCTCCAATATACATTTTCGGCCGATCTCATATATTTGATGCACCAACACCATACATATGTCCGATTCCATTGAAATTTGGACAGAGAGACGAAAATTGATAACAAAACAAAATTTGCCAAATTATATTGAAATCGGTTTAGGTTTGGGTATAGCTCCTACATACTTATATATTTCGGCCGAATTTATGTATGTTATGTACCAAACACGATATGTTCGGACATATGAAATTCAGAATGTTTGGTTAAATTTGGCATGTTTCTGCTGTTCTCATGGTCAGCTGTTCCTGGCATGTTCACACGTTGGTAGACCGAGCTATTTGTTTGTTTACGCATTAAAGTATTACAATAGTTTCGTTTCTGTTTTTTAATTTTTGAATTTGTTTTATTATTTTTTTATCCAAAAAATATTTGTATATGAAATTTTGAATGCATATAAAATCAAAGGGGTAGTGAAGGGCACCGGGTTCAGCTAGTTGTATATATAGGTTCACCTTTTACTATAGCGCCCATATGACGGTGCCTCACGATGTTCGATATTTTTATGAATTTGGTAACGAATTCTACCTCCTGTGGCTGAGCATTGTCTATATAGGTCCACGTTTTACTATAGCACCTATAACGGTACCTTTATATATATTTTATTTTGAAAATTTAAGCCACATTTTCTCTCGCTGAAACTCCTACGAATAAATCAATAAACATATTTGTTAAATAGCTTATCTGTCAATTAAGTTCACAATCACGTTTCAGATAGAATTTAATCGATTTGCATTCAATTTTGATAGCACTATTGCTTAGAGTTTGCTTCTGGTTCTTGTGATTGGAATAACGGTTGTCAATATTGCAATGTGCTAAAAATTAAAACGGAAACACCATGTTGAGCAAGTGATACAGTTCAATTGCCTGCTTTGTAATAGATACGCTGCGAAAGTTATTTCTAGTGCAACATCAAAATCAAAACATTTCGTTTATAACAATCAGGTATATTTTAATCCTGTTTTCAAACAACATTCTTCGGTGCAACAAACGGCATCAGAGACGGCAATTTCATACCAAAGTTTCAGTGAAATTAGCAATTAGTGTGATTTACATTCTGACTTCATTGATTATTTTTCAAGGTCAGGTTAATAGGGTCCATGTTTCCATTTGCTTGTGCGAATTATAATTTTTTCAAATTTATTTTATTGGAAATCTCAATCAACGATCCACAATCTCTCAAAGCACAATGAATTAGTTAGATTGATTGGAACTGCATTGAATATAATGTCATCTGGTGATCTCAGAGTTTTTATTAGAGATGACGGAACACTAGTTGGACAGCATAAAAGAAAATTCAGTGTACAGAATATGAAAGATATGTTGTTATTCATCGCATAAATTATCGACATCAATGCGTTTCTTACGATGCTTCGCAATATCCCATTTTGTTTTGGTAAGGTGAAGATGGTTATGTTGTCAATGTCGAAATTATTAATCTGTCAACTGAAACTAAGTGCAAATATTATTGTTAAAATCATTTTAGTGGTTCCTAAGAATTACATTTGTGGCTTGAAAACGCTCAAAAATGTTAGCTCAATGAACTACTATGTGTATAGGTTAATGACATGACGGAATGAGGATAGTCACATTTTTAAATTTTTTCATAAATATGTTGTGGACATGTATGCAGAATTGAATAGGAATATATAAACTTTATTCGATATAATGAAGCAAAATTACGTATGATGC